TGAAAATGGCTGACGGATACGCAATTCTTATCGCTATCGAAGAGTTAGAAAGAGCCGAAAGACGTTGTTTGAGAAGGCAACGAATTTTTCGACCACAGTAGATGACATTTCTTTTCGCATCAAGTCAATACTAATAAAAAAATTTTAATTCATAATTGATAAAATTATACAGCAAATTTTTCAAAAAAAAAAGTATCTAATTAATCGAAAAAGAGTATTAAAATGATAGTAAATTATATGTATAAATTATTAAAAGCATAGACACTATATTAAGGTTATTTATTAATCAGAAATGTTAAGTTCTGATTAATAAATAATCTTAATAGACAAAACAGTTTAAGAAATAGATCGAGGAAGAAAACTATATGAAAAAAGGATTAAATTGAAATACATTTACATTACATAACGGATTTTTTAGCTCCAACACACGCAATTAATTTTTAAACTAATTCTCTCCACAAAGAGAATTGGCTTTTTCTTGTAAATTTATTGTCGAATTTTCCGCTGTTCATTTTCTTATTATTTTCTACATATGTTACTAATATTTCATTTTGTTCTTCGCTTATTTTTTAAAATAAAACATTCGAGGTTTTCATTTTGTTTCTGCGTACTATATTGCCACAAGACAACTTTTAACTGTAGCACGTGTAAACTAATTCGCATTGATTTGTTTACAACTTGTTACAGTTTTGTTGATTGGTCGAATCATTATAGTCGCAAACCCAGATGCATTGTAAATAATCCCATCATGCTTATCGATTAATGTAAACAAGTGAATATGACCTACTTCCGCTCGCCTTTCGAGTTCGCTCGAAGGGTCTAACTCGAGATTACCGATTATGTGAGTCACAGTAACACGAGTGAGTTCGATGTCGTCAGTTCGAGTACAACACGAAAAACTCGAGACTAAGGGCCCTGGGTGAGGTTGATGCTTTGTAAAGCGCATGCGCGAATGATTATCATTTCGCTGTTTGGAAGCTGACAATACAGCGTTTCCATTCTGCCACTAATATTCGAATATACAATAAAAATATGGTCGTTATTTTACATGTAGTATAAAGATTTGTAATAAGATACAGTTATAATAAATGAATAAATTTAATTATATGAAAATAATCGCACGATATGTATTTATTTTTTAAAAAAATACAAGGGAAGCGGCGCCTCCAATGACGGCACGCCACTGCATTTTGTATATTATTTTATTATTGTTATTTCTGCAAATAAATAATATTTAATGTTTTGAATTGAAGACTAATAGAATTTCTACACTTATATCAAGTCAGTGTATATGCGCTATTAATAAACTAACATTAAATTTTAAAAAAAATTAATATTAGTGTATATGTTACCGCTAAAGCTCGAAAGTCGTTAATGTGTACATTACCTAGCTAATCTGCAGATTAACTAGGGTGATCCGTTAAAGCTGCAAAAATTGTTCTATTTCTCAAATTACCTAGGTTATGTGCAGATTATCTAGGTAATCTGCAAATTACCGACTAGGAACTCGGTAAAATGAAAATAAAATCTTTCCTGGAACAACAGCAAAGTTTTTGTACGCTTAAATTAACATATTGTACTTTATTTAATTTTCGATATCTAAAGATTCATGTTGACGAGATAACTCGTAAAAGTTACATAGCGTTACGTAAGATTCAGTAGTTAAGGCCACTTATAACAAAAAATTTTTTTCAATTTTTGGAATGTTTTTAGGTCCCTAAATTTTTTCTAAATTTTTTTCCCGCGCAAGAAAATGTTATCGCGATTTTAATGAGCCTTTGATAAGACTCGATTAAAGCTTAATTGTTTTTCAATGGAGTTTTTTATCAAATTTAATTCATGGTTCCTAAGTTGTAGCGCACGGATTTTCCTTCGGTAAAGTTATTTAAAGCTGCTTTCTGATGTCAAAAACGACCTTCAAAAGTTTTTAAATTTTTTAAATTGATATATTTTATTTTATATTAATTTAATTAATTAGGGGGGTCGGAAATCGCAATAAAAATTTTAATTTTTTAAAAATATTTAAAAATATATGTGTCAGTCATAGTCACCCTACTTTAAATTCTTGTCCTCCCGAGAGGTATATGAGAATGTTCCGGGAAATCGAACTCCAGCTGTGTTCTAGGTCATCCAGCTGTGTAAACAATGACTCATCAGTGTTAAATTTCACAGAAAGGCAAGACAAAGGAAAATAAAATTTGAAGCTTTTTCTTCAAAATTAACTCATTTCTTTCGTTTATTTCAGTTTTAAGTATTTTTTATGTATTTTTTATGCTTGATTACATCATAATTAAAAACAGTCGGGCGTTAAGGGGTTAAATTAATACTCAAACAATTAACAAATTAGTTGATAGAATCAATCATCAACCAATTAAAAAACATACAAAAAATCAAACTGTTTAAAATATTAATAAAATTAAGGAAACTATTATATAGATAACCACCTATGGAATTTCGGGACTTTGAGTATCTATCTGAACTGAGGAGACCGAGACAATTTCAACGATACCCTACTTTTGGACCAGAGCGAAAAATAATAGGTTATCATACTTTTTATGGTGATCGCGTGATATAATTGTGCAGTTAATGTTACCAAAAGTGAGTAAATTGGTGGTTCGTCTCTGATTCCAGCAAACGGAAGAATGGAAACAGTGGCGATACACGTTCTAACCTAACCTAACATATTCTAATAAATTACCATAATTATTACCAATCAAATTATTAGAATAGGTTAGGTTAGGTTAGGTTTGAACGTGCGTCCCCACTGTTTCCTTTCTTCTCTTTGCCGGAATCAGAAACAAGCCACCATTTTACTCACCATAGGTAACATTATCCAATTCTGCTTACTTATTAGTGCAGTCTAAAGATTGGTGACACTTTGAATTTCATAGCAATTGTTTTCTGCGACAAGCACACCTATTTGTGGTACATTTATTTGTGGCAAAGATCTTATTTTCACTTTACCGAGTGCCTAGTAAGTAATGTGCAGATTACCTAGATACTCTGCACATTATCTAGGTACTTTGAGAAATGGAACAATTTTCACAACTAACGGATCACCCTAGTTAATCTGCAAATTAGCTAGGTAATCTGCAGAGTAAAGACTTTTGAGCTTTAGCGGTAACATATACAGTAAAACATCGGTTTACGATGCTCCTGTTTTTGAACAATATTCTGAACGCGTAATTTGCTCCGGTTGACATAAAATAACTCGTTTTCCGAACAAACTACTCAGAGATGCAGGCCACAAATTGTCAACTTCCTATACTTCCTGTGTTAAAGGAAGTCGAGTCTACGACAAGACTACTAATTCGGCAGTGACGCCGAGATTCGTCTTCTGTCTTTAGACGTCACGACACGCACCATCGATGACGTTTTTAGTCAAAGAAAATTTCAATATGCGAGTAAGATACTTCTTCTAATTTCTTTTCAATTTAAATTACATAGTTAGACAATGTTCGCGTCACAATTTAATTTAAATAAAATTAATTCATAAGAACCACGTTAATCGACATTGATGGAATGTAAATAACATACAGTAATTAGTAATTAAGATACTTAACTCAAATTAAGAAACAAAGTTACTTACCACATATTGTAGTGTTTATATTCAATTTAATATTTATTAATAATCGGTAGTCAATTAATTAAAACTAAAAATAATAAAATAATTATTAATTTAAAACTCTTGTTTTCACACCAAAAGTGAAACTAAAATTAAAATTATAATCAAATATATTGAAACAAGTGTCGATAAAAAACTTGTCTTCCATCTTTACTGAATCGCTTATATTTCATGTAAGCAGAGTCCAGTGTCTAATTATAGCACTTTTTGTAAAATGATAATTTCTGTTTGCTGTAATAAAACATTTTGCATTCAATATATATAACAGGTGTAGATATAGATATAATCTTGTTTTGTATCAAGTATTTGAGTATGAGCTTCTAGGCTCTATCGCCCGTGATAGATTGCGATGTAATTGTTAAGTATTAGTAGTTGTATGCGTTTATGATATTCGTTACGCGAGAAATAATGTCTTCGAAGAAGCCTTTGGCCCCTATTCAGGAGCTACAGACATGGATAAAATCTGTCGTTTATAGGGGTTTTTTCACCATCACGTCTGGGCGAGACACAAACCAACTACCGAACTTCTAGTATTAGGAAACGGAACCGCTTATCTCACTGGTGTGTCTATAAATAATATTATATTATACACAATATTATATTGTATTTGTAAGAATTTTTATAGATAAAATACAGATAAAAATGTAAAATAAAGGGTTTGTTTTAAGGTTCTGGTACGGACTAATACATTTTAAATTGTTCTTGTGGAAAAACTTGTTTACGTTTAAAAAAAATCGGTTTTCGAATTAATTCCTGTAATGAATGAAGTTCGTAAATCCAAGATTAATTGTAGTTGATTTTCTTCTAAATTAAATGACTCTTTTATATACAGTGAATATATTTATTAACACATCTTTCATTCAAAATCAAAATATAATTTAATGGAGATTCGTATAAAGATATTAAATAAGTACGTAAAACTATTAGTCTGACAATCAAAATTGGTATTAAAGTTAAAATGCAATTCATTAAATCATACCTATATTTTTGAAACTTTCTATGAAGCTTGAAAAGTAGTCGTTTCTTGCCTCTAATATATTTTATAAAGTATATGTTCGTTTAACTTAGGCTATCAGAAATTTTCATATTTCGAATTGCTGGTTGAAAAAATAATCGTGCTTCAATGTTCATAAATGTGACTTTTTCGAAAAATGATCACATTACATTTCACAAGTTATTTCACATTACTTAATAATAAGTTTTTTTAAATTATATTATACTTTTTTGGCTTAGCAATTTGAATCGATATGGACATGTTTTATCATAATTAACGAATTAAATTTTCGTACGAAAAGGAAATAATAACATTTTTAACGTGAAAAAGCATAAAGGTAATTAAATACGAATTATACATATCGAATTAATTATTACTTACTTGAGGAATGATGGATATTTTACTACGAAGATCCCGAAGTCCAATATCTTTAATGTCAACACCATCGATGATTATCGTTCCTGTTGGCTCTGTCATGCGAAATAATGCAGCAATTATAGAACTCTTTCCTGCTCCTGTTCTCCCAACAATTCCTATCTGCAATTAATTTATAATAAACACCAATTCAGGCAATAATTACGAACAATACTCTTCCAATTTGCAGATGTTTTACCTTTTCTCCGGAGCGAATATGAAATGTTAAGTTCTTTAACACAATATTTTTATCTTTGGAGTATTGCAAAGAAACATTATCGAAATGAATTTCTCCTCTTTCTGGCCAATCAGATGGTGGCCGTTTATTAGGCAAACTATCGTAGGATGCTTCCGATTTCAAATTGCTGTATTTCAGAATGCGTTTTACAGAGTTCATCTGGAAAATTCACTTTTTATGAAATAACAATTACGTTATCAGGAAAATAAATTATGCGTAGCATTTAATTAAAATTATTAATACAGATATTTTGTGTAAAGGGCCGGTTAACAACGGTATTACTTAGTTTTCCTTCATTATTAATTAATTTCCATTCTTATTATACCATTATATTTTTCTACGTACTGTTATACACTAAAATTTACTTTTTTTTTATAAAATATGAGTTTGTACAGTGTGTAACTTTCAAATACAGACGACCTGTAACACGGTAGACACGTTTCGTTTTTTATAAATTGATGTTTTAAGAGATCTTGCCAATCACAGCCCGACACGTGTGAAGTCTTCGGACTACGGCTGTTTGAAAGGTTTTCTTGCATAAAACTAATCGATTCCTAGACTAATTCGACTCAACATTTCCAAAACACCTATAATTTTTTGGGACTAATCTGTATAAACTATGCTATAAACAAATAATTGTAGGATTACTTACCGAGTGTGCACCGTTTGAGGTCGGCATTGCTTAAGCTTGTTTTCGTCGCGGAGCAGCGCACTAAACGGCGGCCGCGATTTCTGATAACGAATTTTTCGCAGAAAAATAACTTGATCTTTGGAGACATCATTAATATAAATAATTTTTATAGACGTTGAATAAGAAATGTTTCTTTCACAAGAAATGTATAAAATTAGTGCTGTATTAGACTTACGGTACCTAATTTACATACTGTACAGACGATAGTAAACTGAACTTACTCGCCTAAACTCTCCGTAGCGTGGTGCTGGACGGCGGAATGTAGTTCGGCTGCCCAATGAAGTTTTACCGAATTATAGGATTTTTTTTTATAAGGTTTGTACGGATTACTTCGCAATTTTTTTGCCGTTATGTAAGAATCCGAACTATAGGAACCCGTGTTATAGGGAGTCGACTGTAATATAAAATCTGCGGAACAATGAAAAGTTGATTTTTCAACAAGTACTTGTACAAAAAATGCACGTTACTCGAAGATCAAAAACTCTTATCGTTTGTTGAAGCGCTTCAAAACAATCCACAAGAGGTAAAACAATTCATAATAAAGAATTAGGTTGTAAGAGAAATTATATACTTAGATTTTAATTAAAATATTTAAAAGAAATAAGAGAAAGTATGTATCTTCGGTTGAAATCGTTGTATAAGGTACAATTATTTAAATAAAACCAGTAATAATTAAAGTTTTTGAGAAAAGTAAAAAATAATTTTTTATTTAAAATTTAATAATAGTATACTGAACAAAAATGCAAAAGAAAAAGAAATCGAACGCAACAAATTTTCAAAATCTATTCGGACTCAATGATGAAATTACTCGAAATAGTAAAAAAGATATGCATAAATATTCAACAAACGATAATAATTATAAGATTATGGAGAAAAATATACCTTAGCCAGAACAGTGTCAAAATGTTTTGAAAATTTGATTTAAAAAGCGATGCATATTGTAAAAGAAAAAGGGATATCTAAATATATAAAATTACTTGTCCTGACTGACTGAATTGTCACTGATTTATCATCGCCCAGAGCAAACCGCTCAACCTAAAGGGTGAAATTTGGTACACAGTTAGGGAACGTCGTGGAAAGGCACACTAAGAAGGGTTATTCCTAAATTCCCCAGCGGGGGGAGAGAGTGAGCATTAAAGCTTAACCTGAAGAACGTCTTTTACTGTACTATTTTAGATGCGTTGTTTTGTTTTCAACAACGTTTCTTCTTCATTAAGTATTTAGGTGTATTAATTTGATAACATTTTAGACATTGTTATAAATATTTTTATATATTTTGATTTTTTAACCAAATGTTCGAACCGTTTTAAAGTCGGATTTGTTATTGCTTATTGGTTCGATTATAGAACGATTATAAACGTTCCAGAAAATTCACCAAATTAAAAATAGTTCGTTTGTTTCTCGGCAATTCTCATCATTCCAGCGGTAAGTCTTATATAACAATTACTATGGTTGTTGAAATACTGAATATAAATGGGGTTTGCTTCCAAAACCCCTGCGGGCAAAGTCGAGGGTGACATCTAGTAAAATATAAAGTTCTTGATTGCTTCTTGTTCTCTCGTTTGTTCTTTGTAATTAAGAAAAAGTTCGTTTTTTGAGAAGCTTGAAAAAGTGTTTCAAATTCTTCATATTCAAACCTTTTTAAAGCAGCTGTAGTAATAGAGGATCATCTACATTGGCGCAACTGACAGGATATTTGGGACATGTACAAAGGTTTATAGAAAAGTTTTCACGTTTTACGTTGAAAAAGGGGTAAAAAATTTTTTTCACTTTGTCGAGAACAAAATTTCACAGCGGAATGCTAAACGTAAAAAGTGTTAAAAATATCGATTTGTTGATCGTGGCAGAAGAGGTTTCTGGCACAATAGACGATAGTCTGAAGGTATTAGAGTTAAAGAAACTTATTATAAAAAGTAAGATTTTTATTAAACTTTTCAGCATTTAAATCACTTACGTACCTGTCACAGTGTTTAAAATTTTTTCTTAACATTTTTTTAAATTTTAAACCTTTTTTANTTCACGTTTTACGTTGAAAAAGGGGTAAAAAATTTTTTTCACTTTGTCGAGAACAAAATTTCACAGCGGAATGCTAAACGTAAAAAGTGTTAAAAATATCGATTTGTTGATCGTGGCAGAAGAGGTTTCTGGCACAATAGACGATAGTCTGAAGGTATTAGAGTTAAAGAAACTTATTATAAAAAGTAAGATTTTTATTAAACTTTTCAGCATTTAAATCACTTACGTACCTGTCACAGTGTTTAAAATTTTTTCTTAACATTTTTTTAAATTTTAAACTTTTTTTAACATTCTGTTTGAATTTTAACTTTAGCATTCTTCGAAGTCAAACACGTACAATTAATTGTAAACCATATAAATATAAATCTAGCAACACATATATATATATATAAGACAGATCACATTGTACACAACTTCCTGTATAGTCCTTTGGCAAGGCCAACTCAGCGAAAAGGCGATTAGGTCACTACAACAGATTTCCACAGTATAGGCATTCTTTGATAAATGCGTTTGATAATTTTTTCGATGTTACTGTGTATATTAAAACGCATTAATCAAATATTTGCGGTGTTTTTCAATATTTTTGACTATTGACTATTGAGTAACAGAATAAAAACATTTATAATTTTAATAATATCGCTATTATCAAACCTACATAAGGATTTCTTTATTAGGCATTATTCTCTTAATATATGCAAGATAAAATAATAAGCAAAATTTGTGCTGTGTGGATATAAGTAAATATTCTCTTACAAAAAGTTTATCTTTCTCGAAAATTTAATATTGCCGAATAAAGACATATGACCGTTCATTTGAAATTATGATTTTTAATCTAATTGAGTAAATATGTAATACCTGAAATTTTACTTCAGATGTAAATCCAATAAAATTTTGAACACCTATCATTATTAGTATTCCATAATTCAATACAAGTCCAATTTGGCTTCCTGCGCTATCTAAAGCCACAAGTACACATTAAAAATTATTTATTTTATAAACTGTAAACATATAAATATATTCACTCACCTGTATTATTTGAAACACCTAAAACAATAACAGTGATAATTAGATTTATGAAACAAATTATGTAACCGTATACGGAAAGCCATCGATTTAATGCCAAGTAAAGAAACCACGTTGAAGTGTGCTTATCCTGATACTTATTAAACATAGATTTAAACTTGCTTTCAGCATTAAATGCTCTAATTGTTGTTAGTCCGTAAAGAGATACACTCAGATGAGAAAATACTGGACTTCTCACTGTGAAAAAAAAATCAATTATTTAAGCAAAGCTTTATTTAATATAATAATTAATAACTTATTATTTTAAAAAAATCAACAAAAACATTTCTACCTGTATCTAGGAAAGTACTGATCGCATTTGCGTGTAACTTATAACGCAAGCAGAAATTCTCTCTGTTTATGCAAAGAGTAATTGAGAAAGATTTTATCTAAAAAATGTGAAACCAAAAACCACAAAATGTTTTTAAATATTGTAATAATTTTTTTGCAGAAAAGAATAGCAACATCTCCTGTAGTTGATTTCAGTACTAACTCTATTTACGACTACACATGATGGTCAAAATGTTGACAAATTGCTGTTGGGAGCTCTATTGGGATAAAAAAGCTATTTACAATCGAAAGTACATTAAAACTGCTGAACTTTTTTGGTTTGAAGCTAACAAGATGCAACCTGTCAAACACAGCATGATATTACTGTATTAATTTCAATTTTTTAGATCATTATATGCGTCAAATATCTTTATTACAAAAATAGAGCAAGGAGTTGCATATTTTTCTTGCTGAAAAATATTTAGGTCCAAGAAACACTAAAGTATTTCAGGAATGATTTAGAATTGTTTGTGACATAATGTGATAAGAGATAATTAATTCCTACTTTTTTGATATACAAAATTATTTAATTTATTATAGAAATTTACAGTTTTATTTGGAAAAGAATTAATATTAACTAAAATTCATTGAGTAAAAATGCTTCAAATATTTATTTGGAATATTTTTAAATGATAATCTCACAATTTTTAAATGAAAAAACGAAATTATGTTTAGATAAACTGTTTTATATCAGATTTTTTGTATTGGAATTGACTAATTTACATATATATATATATGAAACATTTTATAAAATATTGTAAAATATATATGATTAAAATGTGAATTTATTATACACAGATACTGATTCGCTAATGCTTCAAATTTATACAAATAATGTTTATAATGACTTTAAGCCATTTCAAGTTATTTTAGCAACTATCCAAAAACTCATAAAGTTTATAACATAAACAAAAATAAATTAGGATATTTTAAAGAAGAAACGTTAATAAAACCGAAAATGTATTCTTATATATTTTACAATCAAAATAAAAATACAGCTAAGAAATTAAAAGATCAGTTGTAAAAATTTTCAATCACAAAAAATATAAAGAAGTTTTATTCAATACAGAACTGCTAAAATATCAACAATATAGAATTAAAAATCATGTTGTGACAACATATCTTCAGAACAAGATAACTCTCCTCGTTTTACGATAAAAAAAATGTATTTCTGATAATGGAATAGATGTGAAATCGATATCGTTTGGTCATTACAGCTTCTATTATCAATTTTTACTGATTCTCATCACCTTCTTAATATTGTTACATATCATTGTACAAGAGAGACAAAACTAAAAAACTTGTTTAACACATGCTGTATTAAATAACACATATCTTTGTTTAAAGTACACTGTGGATAAAGCCAAATTATTTAAATTACTACAAAATAGGAAGTAATATTGTAAATTTTTTACACTAACTAACCAGATAACAATACCGTTGTGTAAAAAATTTTATAAAATATAAATNACTACGCTTGTTGGAGAACAATAAAAACACTACACTCAACAAGCCACCAATAAAACTCAACTGCCTAACCTATAACCAAAGTCTCCTTTTAATTTGTTTTTTAAAAAAAGTGCTTGACAAACTTGCCCCGCATGCCAAAGTTGCCCCGATTTCCCCTATATATTTATTTACTAGTACATTCATCAGAAAACATATTAGACACGCAAAATGGGATTTAATTTCGAAACATTAACTATTAGATTTGATATTAGATTTCATATTTCATATTAGACAATGAATTCATGGATGATTTTTCAAAAATTTCTTAATTAGAATAAAGTAGCGAAATTTGAAATTCCTTCTGATAATTTTGTTAAAAAGTATAGACTATATGCAAATTAAATATGAGTATAGTTTTAAAATATCAATTACAATAGAGTCCCGAAAACTCGGCACTCGATAACCCGGCAGTCCGGATAACTCGGCCAGACCCTGGCAGGGCAAAAAAACCCTTAGTTAATTAATTTTCACTACAAACAACTTTATGCCTTATAAAGTATTTTTCTGAAATCTGTCTCATCAGGTAAATTACTGTACAGTGTATTCATTATTTTTCATTTTCATGTAGTAAAGGCTCTATGCTTTAATAAAGTATGTACTTTTTCTTTGTTTAAGGGTATTTGGGCAGTTTATTCTAAGTTGTATTCTCAAGCAAACAATACATACAAGTACAGTACAGTATTTTCTGAGGAAACACTCGTACTTATTTTTTTAACCCCATTCCCGATAACCCGGCATTTTCACAAACTCAGCCATACTTTGGTCCACATTAGGCTGAGTTTTCGGGACTCTACTGTATTAAGAATACTCTACAAAAGTTAAGAGATTGACATTTAGTTTTCCGTTATCAAATACTGAACAAAGATTTTATTCATGATTTCAAAAATCATGAATAAAATCTGAATTTTCTGATGTTATATTTTAAAATATCAAAAATTATATCAGTAATATATTGCCGATAATTCACATAGTTTATTAGTGTATATGTTACCGCTAAAGCTCGGAAACTCGTTAATCTGCAGATTACCTAGCTAGTCTGCAGATTAAATAGCGTGATCCGTTAAAGTTGCTAAAATTGTTCTATTTCTCAAATTACCTAGGTAATGTGCAGAATGAGTAAAATGGTGGCTCATCTCTGATTCCAGCAAACAGAAGAAAAGAAACAGTGGGGACGCACGTTCTGTCTTAACCTAACCTATTTTAATAAATTACTATAATTATTACAGACCAAATTATTAGAATAGGTTAGGATAGGTTTCAACGTGAGTCTCCACTGTTTCCTTTCTTCTCTTTGCTAGAATCAAAAACGACCCGCCATTTTACTCACCATAGGTAACGTTATCCAATTGTGCTACTTATTAGTGCAGTCTAAAGATTGGTGACACTTTGAATTTCATAGCAATTGGTTTCTGCGACAAGCACACCTATTTGTGGTACATTTATTTGTGGCAAAGATCTTATTTTCATTTTACCAAGTGCCCAGTAGGTAATGCGCGGATTACCTAGATACTCTGCACATTATCTAGGTAATTTGAGAAATGGAACAATTTTCACAACTTTAACGGATCACCCTACTTAATATGCAGATTAGCTAGGTAATCTGCAGATTAACGACTTTCGAGCTTTAGCGATAACATGTATACTTCATGATATTTCAAATGTTGTCAATGATATGATGAAAAGTTAAATAAATTTGTAAAATAATAAAAAGGAAAAGATTAATATATAATCCAAACTTTATCACTTCTTTATATTTCTATAATTCAAAATGTATCAGAACTTTACATTAAATTCCTAGTGTTGTAACGAATAGTATATTCGGTCTCAGGCCGAATAACGAATATTCGGCCAGGAGCGTGGCCGAATAGCCGAATATTCGGCCAAACTATTTGGCTTGATTAACGTACGAACGAAAATTGGCGCGCAAACCGCATTATGGCAAGGATCCTGCTCTCTATTGGCCCGCTGTCACTACGCTTCGCCAATCGCGTTAATTTTTGGCACTTGTAGCGCACAGACAAGAGCGTCATGGAAGTATGTGATAAATGATGATATCAAATGCGAATAACAATGAAATGACCTACACGTGTAAATAACGGAAAAAGAACAGAGAAAGACCGCGAAGGGAAAATGTGAAAATAAATAAGAAATTGAGTTGATAACATAATCGAACAAGTCGAGGCAGCATATTGGCATGGAATTCTCGGTCGTCAATGCCAAACAATTGTTGTCATAGACTTCGGAAAGCTAAATGCTTGTAATGAAAGTGATTTAGCGTGCACGGGCGAAAGCCTGGGGCCGTTGGGGCTATCAAGCTGTCTCGAATCAGTGAAATCATAACTGTGACTTATATCGATGTCCTATCTGTCTCTTTTCTCTGTTATCACCAGGCTGTCACGTAATTGTAAAATGTGAACTCTACGACGGAAAAGTGACGAATCGAAAGTATCGTAAGCGCTTATTATGATGTATGCACAGGCATACGTGGATTAGAGCGATAGAGAAAAGAGAAAGGGAAGAGCAAAGACGAGCGCTTAAAAAGAAGGATAGGCAGAGTCAGACCCTCAGATGTGCGAGAATTCTCCAACGATAGACATGTACGTGTGCTGATCTTTCTAATTATAAATTGTGAATACGTGTGACTAATATTATTTTCTTTCTTATTTTGTGCATGTTACAAGTTATAAATAAATATAAACGAACAACACTAACTCGATAACATTAAATCTAAATAACAAAATGATTAATTTACTGTGTTTTTGTTATTTATTACTCCTGCGTTTAGGTATCAACGCTAACATGGCTCGATTCAATTTAATGGTTACTTCAGAAACGCTAGAAATGTTCAATGACTACTAGCAAACAGTGGCTGGCACACACTTTGAATTTAATGTTTGTATGATCCAATGTTTTTACTCTTATTAACTGTTTCAGTAGAAATATTAAAGCTGTTGGGTGTATGAAACGCCGATATCAGAAGCTGTAAATCGTGAATGGCAAAATATAAAAGATTTGTGTTGAATGTTTAATTACTACGTTTTAAATTATGACTTAAGCATGATAATAAATTTACTGTAAAATTGTTAAATCCCCNCCCACAATGACGTGACAAATAGAAACAAATGGATAAAATTGTTCCAAAAATAAACATTTATAAAGGGTGGCTGAAAAATCAGTTAACCATTTTAAAGACTAAGATGCCATCATGCTTATTGTATTCAAAAATGTACCGTGTACTTTTATATGTATTGTACTGTATACACATGCTTAACACACGCGCTGCATACTAGATACAGTACGTGTTTAATATGCATTTATAACACACAATTATAATATTAGTCACTCAAATAAATAGATCTTCTAAAAATTTTACTAAGAAAGAATTACATCTAAATTTTAAACAACACCTGTAACTACAGTAAGACCTAATTTAACGTTCCCTTGATTTGCTGATTCGATATAACGCCGTCTGCTCGATATCTGAAATAAGTTCTCAATTTACACTGATTCAAACTATCGCTGAATTGTATTCATTCCTATATAAAACGATTGTTTCCGAACACGAATCAATTATCAAAAGGTGGCAATTCGTTGTAGCGCTGTACTTTCCTTAAATTTATGTTTGTTTCGTGCAATTTTCATGAATGTTATAGGCCAGCAATTCCCAAAGTGTGCGCCGCGGCTTCCTCACAGGGGTGTAGTTAAAAAATATTTTAAAATGTTCATAATTTTACTACCACTTTTAATTTAATTTGATAAGATGTGACTTCTAGAAGACCTGGTGCAAATGCATTGGTATCTGTACTGATAATGCTCTTTAATTTAAAAAATATTGGCTATTTCGCAAACTTTAGTTCTTAGAATTTGCCACAGGGCGCCTTGAGAAAATGTGGATTTAGCAAAGGCGCCGATAATAAAAGAAGTTTGGTTACTTCTGCCACAGGCGATATCGACATCGCTTAGAGTAGAATTAATTGATAAATGCATGAAGGAAGTGTGTGAGAGAAGTTATGGATGAAGGTATTCAAGAATTCTCAACAAGAATAGTCTATCGCTGTATTGTTAGGTTGATAAAATTATCAGCCTAATCAATACAGCAGGACTAGAAGATGTAGACAAGCAGGATAACAAGGAGTTATTGAAGGTTTCAGGTAAGAGTCTTATTAACAATAACCATTAAGAACTGGCACAACAAAGAATTTATGTAGAACTGGTGATTCTGAAAATGAAAAACCTGAAGAATTTCTCTACAGATTTTCTTAGAAAACGTTTGGTAACGATAACCGAAATCGTTAATCAAATTGTAGCGAATGAGCCAGAATATTGAAAGGAGTGCAAAAACAAGACGGGACGTTCAGGATGCAATCTTTTGTTACTGACATTTCCTTAAGGAAAGAAATAAAAAGCGACAAATGAAACTACATGACTTTATCGAAAAAATCAAGAATTTCAGGAAAGTCAAGACGTTCATCACAAAATGTAAACTTCATTTCTGTGTGCATATCTTTATGTGTTTTTAACGAACACTGTTTTACAGATTAATATAAAATTAACATAAAATTAAAGTGAAATCTGTTTGTTTTTTCTGCGCGTTTTTCTTAATATATTTACTCTTTATTAAAATGATCTTGTTTAACGCTGTTTCGTTTAGTACTTTGTCATTTAAAAATGTATACCCGATGCAAAGCTGGTTGTTACTGTACTGATAACTTTCTCTGTAAATAAATTAACGCTGTTTATTTAAATCAAAGATAATCCACTTTTTCATGTATAATCACGGAATATCTGTAATCATTGATTTTCCCTAACATATATTTTGAAGTCGACTTGAAGTAAGTGAACAGAATACAAATGATCCTGTATTAAATTGTTCTGTAAAATGTTTCATATTTTAAAATCTGTTATTGTAATCTAACTGGTTTTCTTTATATAAATTACAGACTGGCTGTGGTCATTTATGATAACAAAATACTGAATTTAATGTTGACGAAAAAACTTCTGACATAAATAAATCTGTCTTCATAATTACAGAACTAATACATTATTCTTTCACTCTAGTTTTAAGAAATTCTTTAACTTATTAAATTAAGTAATTGTTCATAGTGTTTTGAAATCTAGCTCGGAATGATAAAATACTGTTTTTACTGAGTCTCTTTATCTCCGTTTACAGAATTTTGTCGCTATTACTCAACACGCAATTAAGTTAAATATCAGACACTCTTCTATATTAGAAATACTTACATTTTCCTTCCAGATGTTTTATGCTTTTTAACACTCGGCTGAAAATTGTCCACAAAGTGTAAAATATTATTGAAAGGACAGCAATTAATACAAGTAGATAAGGACAGACGATTGCTTGAACAACACACATGCCAACAAGAATTAAGCCTCCCTAAAATTAAAAAAAATATAAATTGCTAATAAATATTTCGAGATCTTAAAACTTAAGTTTTATAAATAAAGTATAAAAAAAATATTTTACAAATATTTAAAAAAGTGATCTCTTTGTTCAAAAATGTATACTGCTGTGTCACAAGTTTGGAACAATTGGTATTATGTAAAACTGTTGTTTTTAGAGGTGACATGGCAAGTAAAAAGCAAAGAACAATTTTAATTATTTTTGTGTTAAAGACCTGCTATCTCTGAAAAGTTTCGAAGTTTTTGGTTTACATTTTTTGGCGATGCAATATCAGTTTTTCGGGACATTTACTGTTTTTTAACAATAAATAAAGAAAAAGAAAGTTAGCTGCATTCAGATCAATGTGTGCCACTAGTTGTAATGTCTAGATGCAATCGTTAAAATCTTTAAAAAGGTCTTACTGTTTTTCAGGTTTCCGGAATAAAAATTATGATATAATTTAAGTACTAAAATCTTTATTCTCACATCTCTAATATATATATAACGAAGGAGAGATATGGCGATCTTTTAAAAAACGACTCTTAAGACAGTTCAGGGAATATTAAAATGCCATGAAATGAAAAAAATTCGGGGAATTGTTTCTGTATGTTTCGATGTGTATGCATGACATTACTTTGTTCATTTTCCTTGAAGCTTAATAACTCTTCTGCTTTTTGTCAGAAATTTTTGAAATTTGCAAGGAGGTTTGTGTATTGAAGGAATGATGCTGCCAATGGCTAAAGTTTGAGGAAGACAACAGATAAAGGGATATCGTGTTTCCTACGTCCAGTAGGCTCGCAACTTAATGAAGAGTTTACTCGTTATTAGCATTTAAAACTTAATATAAATGTAATGCCTATTTACAAAATTAAAATTTTTGCAGTCTTATAATTACAGAAAATATAAAAACTTTTAAAATGACATATTATAACAGAAGGCAAAAGATACAAGTATAGGTGTTGCCGGAAAAGTTAAGTACCCGTTATTGTATTTTTTAGTAATCTCCATACCACCTATAAAAAATAAACCGACAGCAACATAAATACTATGGTTCCAGACTTATGGTATATTTTATATTATACTTCTTACATTAAAAACAGTATTTTAGTCAATATTTCCTAAAAATTGTTTGAGTAAAAACACGATAAAAATTGCATTTACTTAAAAATATATTCCTAGAATCATACAAATCTATTTAAAAAAAATAAATTATTATGAAGAGTGCAACATAGCATTTCTAACTACTAATAGAATGCATATTTTCTGTGTTTACAAAATCGCCAGTTAACGTAGTGTTCAGACAATGCGAAAATCAAGAAAGTTGAAATAGAATGCACTTTAGTATCAATGTGTTTACTTTTACCATCAGCGGTACAGAAAAGTTTTACTGAACTAAGATTGCACTGTTCAATTTATAATTAGAGAAAATGAGATCAAAACATTTTACGATAGTTCAATGTACATGAACGTTCAGTTTTTAGTAACTGTGAGATCTGAATAGTCCCTGGGTCTAAAATTAATAATTATTTAATTATATTAAATATTGTCCTAAAATATTATTTCATTTTGGTGAGAAATTAACGTATTCCCACGTGGGAAAGATAGATAACAGATACTACTTCCTTCGAGGGAAGTTAGTACATCCTCTGTTTTTCCCTTATCCGCTAAAAATCTCGCTCAGATGGGAAATGTCCACCCCTCTTTGATTCCCCTTTCATCCGTTCACATGAAAGAGTTTCTGGCAGATGATTGATCATAAATCATGAGATATAGGGGAAATTTATCAGAATTCGCGGAGTTCATCGACAGACCTGGAAGAGTCAGGACTCCACACATATATTTCTCCTGATGGCCAACGCCCTTAGACGAGTCACATAGAATAATTCCAGAGTTAGCGCTGAGAAGATATACTTTGATTTTGTGCACCTATCGATCTCCCATGGAATGAAGTAAATGAACTTTATCTCTAGAGTATCCCTTGCCTTCAAGAAGAAGACGAACGACAACTAAAACAGGTTGTATGTTTACTAACGATTTTGTGAGCTCTCTCTTTCGATCGTGTAACAATTTAATATAAGTCCATATATCTCTCGACTTATAGGTTGAATTTTGTAGTCATTGTCTCTTACTACCATATATTTGTATTATTTTATTGGTTTACGTTTAATTAAATTCAATCTTGTTTATTTGTTAAAAGAATGTCTCTGAATCAAATCTATAAAATAATCACCTGCGTGTTAGTCCGCGGATCGATTAATTGACAAACTGGTGTCGGGAACCTGACGTAAGGAAGGTGATTTCGCCATCACCAACCTCCACCTTAAAATTCGGCTTAACTAAAGACCCTCCGCCACTCGATTTCCCTAAGATTGGAAAAGGCCGTTCTTGTAGACGACAGAGAACTAGTCCTACCGACTAGCTGCCTAGTAAGTGACACAGGCGTAACAACCTACCCTGTACCCCAGGCTGGATCTTACATAACTTACCGAACTACTGTACCATAATTTAATAATTGTAATTTTTTATTGTCAAAAAATTTTAAATTACTGATTCAAAATCATCACGTTACTTAGCTTGCGTTTAATGTATAAGTATTTTTATTTTATCATGATAAAATATTTCTTAATTTTAAAAATTCCGAAGGACAAATAACTTTTTTTTTTTTTACTTTTTCTGCTCTACAGATGTTCAGAGACTATACATCTACGTAATTCCAAAAAATTCCTGGGATTTCTTGCTTCTCTGGATTCGCTCTTTAGTCCTGTAGAAGATGTAGGTTGACACATTATAATCATTTGTTTTCCCGGCTCTCATTCAAATATTCGACCGAAAAATATACGATTAAACTATTTTCATAATCTGCCGCACGTATTTAAGAGGGATGGTTCGACTTATCAAAGTTATACTATACGTTCTCTGACTACATATTCCATCTAGCACCGATCAGGTGAGAGACACAGCTGCTCTGTAGATGTTCTGTCCTTATACATAAGTGACAGTTGTTACTGTCTCGGATTCAGTAGTACGTGTACAGTGATAGCTGCAGCAAATTTTTTATTACGAAAATATAGTCCAAAATAAAGTGTGAACGATCATTCGAGTTTGGCACGCAAATAAAGAAGACTTTACCGAATTTCATCAAAATGAACGAAGAAACAGGTTGACAAAAACAGTGAAACTGTCTACAACAATGGAAGTTCATATACCTCAAACATTCGCAGAGTTTATAATGAAAGTAGCTTATAGTGCATGTTTCATTTGTTGTATTTGACGTTCTGATATAAAACAGCGTGTCTGAATTTCACAAACATACCTTTGTACATGGCCATCACTTTTCGTGTTCACTACTTTTTATAATTTTATTTTACATAAATATGAATATACAGAATTGAAGAGCAAACGGCTATCCACTTAATTTTCCATTGCGATAGATACACAGACATTAGAAATAGTTTATTTAATTGATGAGTGCGAAAATTATGTAAGAATACATCTAGCCATGCATACCACAGAAACTCGTACAATATACCATTACTTATTATTATTCATTTCCCACAGCAAAGCGCTTGCGGATGCATTCCCAATGGCACATAACAAATATGCATTGTATTGTTCCAGTTGAATTAATTTAGCAGCTATTTCTTTTGTGTTGTGTCTCTTGTTTTTTTAGTGATCGGTTTCTGTTTTGTTTATCATACGCTGTTTCTCATGTTGTCTATATTTTACTTATATGGAATAATATTAAGAAATTTTTAAATTAAAAAAATCTGTCGACTTTCCCGTCGGTCATTTGTCACTGCTTGCCTGGTTGTTCCTTCTTAGTATTCTTGTTTAGTATAAAGTTAAGTTTAATGCTTAAAGCCAACGAAAAGGCTTTAAACTATTACTAAAATAATACAGATACTAATCTAGCAAGCTCTGTAAGAAGCAAAATAATTTAATTGAAACAACACGGAAAAAGAATGAATACAGTAAAATTTAAGTTACTTAAATTATAACTTCCTTAATTCTAACTTAAAACTAGTTATACTAACGTACCCTTTAGTCTGTGTAACTTTTATGTAGCTGCAGTACTTATTTACGATGTATGCTACAATTTAACATTTTTTAGACCCATACGCTCGCACACCAACGATACTTGTAGTAGGAATCAACTTATGTACACCGCTCAAAGGGTTTCTTTTTTTATTTCCTTACCTTTTTCTTCCTCTCCTCTCTTTTCTTCTTTTCTTACGCCGACTAAATACTATGTATACTGTCGGTGTGCTTCGTTAACATAAAGTATTCAAAATGAACTTACCCTTATTAAAATATAAGTAAAGAAAGGAATCAAATCATCCATGCTACCAACATCTTTGGAAAATCGATTCAAGATTTTTCCTGAAAAACATTAAAATGAAAAATATTAATTGAATTAAATAATTATGAAAAACAAATTTCGATATAATTATCATTTATAGGATTATTTCACAGTTTATATCTACAAACAACGTTTTTCGAAATTCTTACAACTAAATTATTTTACATGGTACATCTTTATCCACACAATAATTTAAAGAGTGAAAAATATAGTTATCATAAATTCAATTATTAAAACCAATGGGATCGATATAAATATTAACACACTAAAAATAAAAAAAATTGGATAAAAAAAGTATAATTATACTCTTTCTATTTCCGACTTCGAGGATTCTATGAGCCAAAACACGACAAACAAATGGCAAGGAACAATCACTATTTTATTAATACGAACCAAATCCATTTTGCCATCAGGCCTCTTCGGTGGATAGATCAAGATGTTTTGTTGTTTTTCTTATTCTCAGTTTATATGGAAATTTTAGCTCTATAGGCTTTTTCTCGGATTGACGTTTGTTATTGAATGCTATGCGACCGATGAGCCAGCGTATCCGAACTGCCTAAACGCGCGCGCGGGAAAGAATGCCTTCCGGGAGGACTTTTATGGGGAACTGGCTTCTTATTCAGTCGTTATTGGCAAGGAGAAAACCCGGAAAACCACAAGCAGCCAGCTTGTCCGATCGCGGCGAGAACCCACGACCGAACTTCCCAGTCACCAAGATGTTAATGGCTGGTTACGCTTTATACCCAACATTCGTTCTCAGCGTGCATCAACAATCATTCCAGCATTCAAATTAAGTACATTTACATGTTCGGCGATACAAAAATGTTCTACAATTTTTCTTTCTAAAATATTTTCTATTTTATACAATATTTTAGTATTTATTCTATTTATATTACAGTTAAATTCTCTACAATGTAAAAACCATGCTGATTCCGTTCTTCTCAGTCTAATGGCCGTCTCATGTGAAATTATAAAATTTGTATTTAATAATAATTACTTTTAAATTTCCACAGAGTATTATAGGCAGAAGAAAGGTATCGCCATAGGATCGGTCATAGGACCATAACTTGCTGATATCTATACGAATAAAATAGATGAAATAATTTCGAGTTTAACAGCTATTAAATATTATACAAGATATGTAGATGACATAATAATAGTTTGATGATTCTCAAATAGTTTCATCTAAATATATTGAGGATTATGCAAATGGATTACATGAAAATTTAAAATTTACAAGTGAAGTTGAACAACAAAACGAAATGTTTCTTTTTCAAGAAGAGAGGGGGAAGTTCATTAGTGAGGCAAGAATTAGTATCATTATAGAATAGTTGTTGAATTTCTTAGATGTCAACCATAAAAAGAGAAGAAACAATTGTATCATTTAGTAATTATGAAAAACTATGTAATAATAGTAAAACTATTAACTTTAAATCTTACTGTCCTATAGAAAATAAAAAGAATGTCTTTATTATGGAATTGAGAAAGATATTGAATCGAACAACCCAGCAAGAAAATATAGACATTGAAGTAAAACAATTGTTTAAAAAATTTCTATTAAATGATTATCCGAAGTATATTCTTTGTAATTGGTACAAATTATATTTAAAACGTAGATTTAATGTTAAAAATGACATAGATATTTGTTATGTAAAGTTTCCTTACGTTACTAATATTTTTGAAAAATATAAACAGATATTTAAAGTATTTACTATATGCGTAGTTGCGAATCAAAAGAATAAGATGTCAAACATTATCAACATAGTAAACAGTGAAAATTTGCCGTGACCAATTTAAGAACGGTGGTGTCGTATACAGAATGTCATGTACTTGTGGAAGTCCAAATTATTACATTGGAGAAATTGGGAGAAGATTGGAGTTGAGAATAAAGGAACATGAGGAGGCCATTAGACTGAGAAGAACGGAATGAACATGGTTTTTACATTGTAGAGAATTTAACTGTAATATAAATAGAAAAAATACTAAATTATTGTATAAAATAGAAAATAATTTAGAAAGAAAAATTGTAGAACATTTTTGTATCGCCGAACATGTAAATGTACTTAATTTGAATGCTGAAATGATTGTTGATGCATGCTGGAAACGACTGTTGGGTATAAAGCGTAACCAGCGATTCACATCTTGATGTATCCACTAAGGAGGCTTGATGACGAAATGTATTTGGATCGTATTAATAAAATAATCAGTTCTTTGCCATTTGTTTGTCGTGTTTTGGCTCATAGAATCCTCGAAGTCAGAAATAGAAAGAATGTAATTTTACTTTTTTTAAACTTAAAATTTTTTATTATTAGTGTGTTATGATTTTCATAGTATGAGGCTACTTGATTTTTCTAAATTAACAACTATATTTACTTTTAATTATCGGTAGGCATTGTGCAATATGATGTGTTCGTTGTCCGAACTGTTCGGATAACGAACATCTCTCAGAACAAGCATAAGATTAAGCGACGTAAAATATTGAATCCGATTGGTCTTCTAGCAACAACTCGAAATTTTTTGGAGCGCGGAAAACGTCAACATCGGCGCTCAATTTGTTATATACTGCTCGGATTGTATTTCTCTATACTTTGAAACTTTCCCTTCTAATTCCAGCCTTATAATTTTCTGACAGAAACAATTCTTTTGTAGTATTCGCGAGACTGTCGGGCGGGTACTCGTTAAGTTTTGCGTAGGTATTTATTTTCGAAAGGTGAGAGTATAATAGCAAAGGTAGAAAGAGGGTGGGTAGATGTTTGATGTTGCTGAGCAATATGGCTTGAGCAGGTTTACAAAAGGCTTCAGTTCAATCTTATCTATGAAAGATAGTGTACAAGCAAGTCTTCTTGCTTGTACACTATCTTTCATAGATAAGATTGAAGCAGCTATCTGAAGATTGAAGCAGATATCTGAAGCAGCTAAAGAAGTAACAAAAATCACATATGAGACGAAAAGAACATTGAAAAACTCAAAATGGAACCTGAAACTGATCTGACGACAGAAGCACTTCAATAACACTTCAACGAAGAACACGAAGAAACTCGGCAAGATATGTTTTCTTCTGAAAAAGAAAATTAATGCCGATATCTGCTATTAAACAAATTTTGAAGAAGTGAGGGGATGTCAGAACAACGGTCTTACAATAGCATTCAAATCTAGTTGAGGTTACTATTCTTGTCGATCTCCACAATTATAATGCTATTAAAATTAAAATTTTTTGTTATAGCGGTTAATTACTTCTGAAAAATCACGAAGAAGAGAGAAAAGCAATCGACATTAGACAGATTCATTAACCCCCACAAATGGAAAAAAAACATGACTAATAAAAATTCAATATTGTGTATATATGTATTTTTATTATTATATATAACTAAACGAATGTATATATATTTCTTATTTTTTGGGTCTCCGGAACAAATTAATCAAACTCCCATAAAAACGTATGGTAAATCGATAATCGGTTAACGAACAATTAAAGTAGCGAACAGTCTTGGAACGGAGTATGTTCGTTAACCAATCACGCACTGTACTTAACTGTTCATATTACAGTATAGTAATTTTATGATTGTACTGTATAATATGATATATGATAACTACGGATGCTGTATAAAACTTATAACGAATGTCTGTGATACAATGGACGAGAGTATAGACAGCATCCGTAGTTACGTAACGCTATCGAAAAATTTCTTTCGGTATTTTATTAGAAACTCTTTAACTTAACAATAAATTAACTAAAACATTATACGTACCAACGGGATTGTTATCCAAAAATGCTATCGGAGTTCGAATGATACAACGAAACATATTGTTGTGAAGTTTGAAAGAAGCAATTGTAAAAAATTTGTATAACAATAATCCTGAAGGTAACGAAGTAAGAAATACAGCACATATCAATCCTACATAAACATACATGTCATAATATTTACTATAGTAAAAATTATTGTTTTTAAATTCGTTAAAAAAACTTTTATTAGATATCATATTTTCGAGATTCTCTTCGTTTTGGCTATAGATTCTAATATCTTTCAGCCTGAAAATATAAAAAGTAAATTAAAATTTCTGGCATTTTTTATATGTGTTTGATAGTAAAATACAACTAATCTATTTTAGGCCATTAAGTAAAAGTAATACAGTACATATAAATAATGTTGAAATCTATTAAATAATAAAGAAACAGGTAGTCAGAATACAACTGTATATATACAGGTAACCCCCGTATAACACGGTAGTTATGTTCCAAAAAATTGCCGTGTTATGCGAATCCGTGTTATACGAAACAAAGAACTAATACGAAAAGGAGGGTTAGGTTCCATAAATTAAAAAACATGCTACTATATTTTCATAATTAAGTTAAATATCTTTATTTAAATTTTCTTAAGTGATACATATTAATATAAACAATGTTTTCTTTGTCATCACTAAAAGCACTATTAACCGAGAGCGTTTTATTTTTGACAAGTTATCGTTATCCTCCCAGCATTTTTCTGCATTATTTTCAGATTCATGCTTTACCTTTTGCAAAAAGTGTATATAATTTTAGTTTGCTTGCTTCTAGTTAAAAGATCTTTATAAATTTCCTTATATGGTGCTAAGCACTTATGGAATAAAAAAAAAACATCTGGCAACAACAGAAGCAGAAGCGTCGAGATCTGGCAAAATTGAAGCAATTTTCGCGAAGGACCGTGTGTATGGAGATAAGAAAAAAAAATTTACACACTGAAGTACTAATAGTTCACGAAAATAATAATTTTCGTGAACTATTAGTACTTAAGTATGTAAAAATTTATTACATTTCATGTTGTACGAGGGTTTTA